CTTCCTGCCTGGCCACTGGCCAACCAGTGTTTTATTTATTGACCAATCAGAGCAATTTGACATACAGACCGTCCCACAGCAACTATTAGCTCAGGCTTATTACTGACTAGCTCTTAAATTAACCCATAATTCTTACCTATGTTTAGTGCCTTGGTACCTTTTCTCAGTTCTGCCTTGTCATCTTGCTTCCTCTGTGTCTGGCTGGTGACTTCTGACTCAGTCTTCCTCCTCCCAGAATTCTCCTCTCTGCTTGCCCCACCTATACTTCCTGCCTGGCTACTGGCCAGTCAGCATTTTATTTATCAACCAATCAGAGCAACACATATTCACAGCATAAAGAATGACATCCCATAGCATAGTTCAGACCCATACAGGACCAATGTTTCTTGATTCAGCTTCTGTGAGCACTCTGAACCTGATTAGATGATGCTGTTTGCCATGCCTCATGCTTTCCTTCTCCACTCTTGCTCCTATAGTCCTCTGCCCCCACCCACCCGGTCTTCTGTGGGGTTCCACCTGGCTCTACCTAGTGTTTGGCTCTGGGCCTCTGCATCTGCTCCCAACTGTTGCTGAATGACACCCCTCTGATGATAACTGGAGTAAGAACCCATCTATGACTATAGCAGAGTATCATTAGAAATCATTGAAATCATTTAAATGACTTTTTTTTTTGCCAATTCTGTTTGGTTCTAGCCAGGCTCTCTGGGATGTCCTCCCTCTGTTTCTTGGCTATCTAGGTAATGTCAGAAGTGGTCTCCCTCTCATGGCATGAGTCTCAATTTGGACTAGTCATGTGTTAGCACAAGTTCTATGCCTCCATTGACACAGCACATCTTACATGAAGGACAGATTGTAGGTTGAAGGCTTATCTTAGTCACTTCTATTGCTGTGGAGAGACATCACAATCATGCCAAGTCTTATAAGGGAAAACATTTAATTGTGGGCTTGCTTCCAGTTTCAGAGGCATTGTCTCTTTGTTGTCATGACTGGGAGCATGGTAGCAGGCATGGCAGTATTATAATGGAGAAATAGCTGAGAGCTATATCCTGATCCACAGATGCAGAGAGAGAGATTGAATCTGGCATGGGCTTTGAAACCTCAGAGTTCATCCCAAGTAACGCACATCCTCCAACAAGACCACACTTACCCAAAACACAAAAACAACAACAAAAAAAAACAACAAAACAAACCAAAAAAAGCCCCACACCTCCCAATTACTCTATCCTTCCAAATAATGCCAGATCCTTGTGATGGAGAATTCAAACATTCATAACCTATGGGAGGCATCACAACAGGAATTATCTGGAAAAGAGGGGATGAAAATTCCAGGAAATGATTTCTGAGGAAAAACAATTTTTGGAGTTTGACTTCAACAGAGTATTTGTAGGAAGAATGAATAACTGTAAAATTGGAAAGTAGGATCAGGAAATGCCAAGCAGCAACCTTTGAAGAAGAAACAAACATGGATGTGTGTGTATAAAATTATAAATAATATATATTACATATATTATATGTTATATATGATATATATATAAAGAATATAAAGACAAATCTGTGCTGAATATTAAGAGAATAAAAGGAAGTATTTACAATTTAAACATTATATTTAATTTTTAATTATTAATTATTAAACAACTTTTAATTTTTACAATGTTGGTTTTAATATTATTTTATTTATATTGACTCTCCCTTTTCAATCTTTAGAGTAAAAGAAAATAATAAATAATCCATTCATTGTCTCTGTCTTAATTTCTCATGTTATTTTTATTCCTTATATGCACTGCTGCACACAATTATACATGTTCTTTTTTAATTTAATTTAATTTTATTTTACAATATAATTTAGTTCTAAATATCAGCCATGGATTCCCTTGTCCCCTCCAGTCCCCCTCCCTTTCCCCCTAGCCCATCCCCCATTCCCACCTCCTTCAGGGCAAAGCCTCCCCCGAGGATGAGGATTGAGATCAAACTGGTAGACTCATTCCAGGCTGGTCCAGTCCCCTTCTCCCAGAAAAGGTTAAGAAATTCTTCAGTCCCGTATCAGAAGAGCCCTCTGGTGTAGACAGAAGGAAAACAATAAAAAGGGACCATTGTCTTCAAGATTCTAACTCTCTCCATGCTTACTTTTGATTTCTCAGAATCCTTTCTTACATGCTGTATACTCTTTAAATCCAAACTTTCCATTTTGATAACAAATAAGTTTTTCCAATAGCAATCTCGGAAGTCTCCAGAAGGAAGATGGGGCCCCAACAGCAACAACTCTACCCAATCCAGAATGATACCATGGTAATCATCATCATACTATACTTCTTGCCAGAAGGTCAGACAATCTTACCCATTACTCTAAGACTTGCTGCAGAACCTAGTTAGTCTAACTGAGATTTAACTATCTGAGCTTTCTCATAGTACCCAACAGAGATACCATCACCCCCTAAACAGCAGGAAGCATTGCTAAGGGAGCAAGAGGAAACCAGCACCCATCTCTCTACAGAGGTATAGGAAAGTTGACACCCATGGCCTGAGTTTTCAGAACCAGCTAGGATGAAGTCTCATCTGCCAATCACTTCCTGAACATCCTTCAGTGTGCTAGGGTTGGACTGTGATGAAGTGGTTTGCAGGGCAGAGGCAGTCCTTCAGCTGCTGCA